CCAGATCCCACCATTTGTCGTCATGTTACTGCGGCTCTACCAAAAACTACGAGGTCGGGATTATTCCGACTCTTGTCTTTATATCTTTCCCTTTTCGCTTCCTTCGATTATGGTCCAGTTTACAATTGCATTAGCACTGCGAAACAAATCACAATCATCCCGAGAGTTAGCTAAAATTAAATATCGCCTAGTAAATCTACATCAGAATGAAAATTTAGGCGAGGGTTATCTTTTGCACGTAAATCCGAGAGGAAAGGTAAGGTCGCAAAACACATATCCAATCACCCCTGTAGATTAGACGCGAGCCAAGGTGACGACATAAGAGCATCGTACTGATTGATTTTATTTACATTGCAGGTTCCAGCTTTAACTGCCAAGTCAATTTCAGCTCCGCTCACAGACAGCCTGTCCATCTCATATTGGGTCTGTGAGCAACACCCAAGCTTGATCCCGGAGACCCATCGGACGACCATTCAACGCCTATTGTCCCAGCTTCACCGTATTCAAGCCGACAATAATCCAAACCCGGCAGTAGATGACCTCCTGGCTCGTAATGACATCTCCCCTGAGCATCGTCGCGCTCTGGAGTATAAACGAGAATGGTGAGCTTAACCCGATTCATTTGCACTTTCACATTCCATGGTAACAGTAAGGACTGTTCAGCGACAGAAAGCAGATAGAACCCGACTTAGATAATGAATACGAAGAAGGTATGACGGATCAAGCGAGACACCTGTTGTCTGAGGTTGTGGTTGAATACGAAAAGTTCACCCACCGGGGGATGTGGATATTTGGGGACAGAACAGGGCCAACAGTGTTGGATGCACATATTGTAGCGTTTATAGCGAGACTCATTGACATCCACCTTAAAGATTTGGTCCCTCCCCAGTTGCAAACATATGCAAAGGCGATCATGGAATTGCCGGAATGGGAGACAGTCATGCAAGGGATGCCAACAGTCTGGAATCCTTCTCTGGGCCCGATAGATCAACTATAAACAAATCATTCGAAATATACTCATCGTGAATGTCCAATGATCGCATCTCCCTATTCGGTCGAGTTATCATATCAAAGGTGGAAACAACCCAAATCAAGCCGAAATTCCTGGGCAGCATTTCACTGGCGCCAGAAAGTTTAGGGTAACCGTACTCGACCATCAAGCCAAGGGTATTCCTTCGAGGTTCTGATAATAGCGCCCATCCAAGCCGGCTTGTGCCCTAGCTTCTGCATTGAAAGGCTCCTTGATGTATCCCCGGAAGTACTTCCGTACATTGTTGCGGAAAACGTGCACTGGATCAGTCCCCTCCTCTTGACAGATCCATGTCAACCATCTGTGGCCGGTCGTAACGTGTGTGATCTCGTCGTTATGAATAACCTCTAAGCTTTGGACACTCTCGGTATCACCCGCCCTGCGGAACTTGTCGATAGTCATTGGATTAACATCAAGGCCTCGGGCTTCGTGTACAAGTGCAATGATGCTGATCCGTGCCCTGAGATCATGAGCTGTGATAGTAGCCGATTCCCAGAGGCCGTGATGAACAGGGAGTGCGCCAAAGTGAGAACCCATTTCTTCTATCCGCGCGCGCAGTAGCGAGAAGTGTTTAGCTTCGTCGTTAGCTACCTTAAGCCAGTCATGAAAGAATGCTCTTGGCAGTTCCCGCGAGCCGCCTGGTGAATCTGGGTTCGTCTGGAACGTGGCGAACCGTATGCATATGTCAACTGCAAGGTCGATGGCCCACAGCTCAATATTCGCCAACGCATGCAGCATGGCAATTCGGCTTTTCAGTGTGCCACCTTTTCCGGCTTTTGGGATGGCCCAGGGTTGGACTTCAGACAATCCTTCCCGTGGAGGCTGAGCGGGAGGCAAAACAGTTCCTCTTCCAAGAGGCATGGGAGACGACGACGCTTCCTTCTCAGTTAAAATAGAGAACAAATGATGAGTCAGTTCGATCTTATGTTCCGGGTTCGCCGTATTCAAAATATGAGCACACCAGTCGCACACTGTGGCATTTTCATCAAGGTATTTAGCTGGACCCGACTCAATCTGATGAGATGGAGAAACTTCCTGTTGTGGGGTGGTGGTCTTGTTCTTCGAGCCTCGGCTTTCCTTCAACTTGAACTTTTCACTGACCGGTTCGAGCTTAACTAGCGACACCTCAGAACCGCCCTCTGTGTTGTACAACAAGGTCACATATTCGCCACGGACATCGACTGGGAATGTGCAAGCCTTGATGCCAACACTGGACTCGCCGGTCTCTACGTTAAAATCATACGCGTGCCATGGGCACGAGGCAACGTATGCTGAATCCTCAATATCGATCTGAGAGTCCTGCATAGGACCGCCTGCATGCGGGCATTCCGCTTCCATGGCGTAATAAGTCCAACCATCGTCGGTTTCATTGGCCGCGCGATCTACCTTCTTTGACGGCTCAATTACGGGGAGGCGAAACAATACCAGGCGTCTTTTGTCGGAGAGATGGATGACATATCGCGCCTGGGTAAAGTCTGAAAGTTGACCAAGCCGAACTACCACCATGTTGCATATGCAGAGCTAGAGATAGATCGTTATAAAATGTGTATACAAAATCGTATGTGGTCTGATTCATGTGTGCCCAATGTGGGGTCACGTGGGGTCGTGTGAATTTTTGTCAAACCATCCCGTATCAGGCAAGACAATCTTATTCCTGATTCTGCTCAGTGCATAATTGCGCTTTTATATGCAAAAGTGCATCAAACATTCAACAACATCCGATGTGGTGTAATGGCTAACATCGCTGTCTCTCACACAGCAGCTCGGGGTTCGATTCCCCGCATCGGAAGCATTTCTTTTGCCAATTTATTTTTTTTTCTTTTCGCAACTTTTTTGGTGCTGAATATCTCCAATTTGAACCAGGATCTGAATTAACTATGATTAAAGCATTTCTGAACTCATTATTCAAGCTTTCGGTATGTAGAGACAGGCACGAGGTTGAAAGTGCGTAGTTGAACTCCCAAAGTGGGTTGATTTTATGTATGGTGGTTGAGATAGATATATATGTAACCTTCAAACGCCTCTAGCCCGCTCCCGCTTTAACCTCATCTCTCCCCATCCTCAACACCCCCATTGTTCAGTGTCGCTAGGCTTATAGCCGTAAAGTACAATAATGCATACTCTCGACCCGCAGATATTTGGGAGATTTCGATTGGACTCTGCTCCTAAAAGACGGGCACAACCACAGCTTTCACCGACCGGCCGACCCACTAAGCAGTCCCGGAAGACACATAGCAAATCTCGCAATGGTTGCTCAACATGTAAACGGAACCGAGTCAAGTGTAACGAGGCTCGACCACTTTGTGGTAGATGCTCCAAACGTCAAAGCGTCTGTGTATATGAGGAGAAGCCGTCTCCTGAACATAGAGACGAAGTGGCTCTGCAAGAAATTGTTTTTTGTGATCCGTCGTTAGAGAACCGGGCAGAACACGCGCATCTAGAATGGCGCCTTGAATCTGGCCTTACATACTCACTCATTAACAACATTCTGAATTATGACTCACCACACCCAAGAGCAACAAATACCCCCGCAACTGCCATGACACCAAGTACACACCTGACACAACACTTGGCCCAATGCATCGACACATCGTTTCAGTCTTACCCGGGATGTCGATTGTTCCATCGATTTGTTTTACCAAACTGTGCAGCTACCCCAGCACTTATGCATGGTCTCCTTGCGCTATCTGCTCGACAACTGCAACACCTTCAGCCGTCATGCCGGCTTCATGAAAGAGCCTACCTTTTCCACACACAGGTCGCTACAAGATTACTAAACGAAGAACTCGCACAAGCGACAATAGCAGCCAAGAAGCTGGATTTTATATTTGCCACATGCTTGCTAATCAATATGATATCGTTCGCGACAAATGAGACTATCCCTTCGAACTCCTGGTTGTTCATGTCCGATAGCGCGTCCATCGACAACGCTCTTAACTGGTTCATGGTACAGCAAGGAATGGGCTACTTGTCCAAAATTCTCAATCGCAATCCTAACGGTAGTGTCTGGAACACAGAGCTCGACGCTGACACATCGTGCAACCCACTTTTCGTCATCAGTGATGACCTTCCGTCTTATCCAGACGTGGAGCTGATACCCCAAACGCTAGCTGAAATCTGTTGTATCACGGCAGACTGTACCCCAGACAATAACCCGTACTATACACCTCTTGTGTTACTTTCCCGAGCCTTCCGGATCAAGAGCTTGGGGTTCGGCAACCTTAACAGCTACTTATCATTTGGCCCACATGTACCGCAGTCTTATCGCTTGTTGCTCCGTCAGAAAGATGAGAGGGCGCTACTGCTTTTTATGCTATGGCTGATGTTATTCGAGGAAGAAACATGTTGGTGGATTGGAGCGCGCACGAGGAATGAGTACGCAGCCGTGTCGTGGCTGCTTGGCCGGAGTGAAGACCAGAGGATAAGAGAGGTCGTTCGGGACCCAACGACTTTTGTCCGATCGAATGCTTCTATGTAGTTGGCTGGGTATGTCTTAGCGTTCCAGTTTACGCTGTCCGTGCAATTATTTCTTTCGTCATGGGTATGGCAGATGACTATTCGGAGCCCATTCCTTAGATAGTGATGAGGGATTTTTCGTTTCACCAAGAAATTCTAACAGCATGAACCACAATCGACACGGAAGCATTGAGTGAGTCTATCCATGGCCAGTTCGAAGTGACGAGACACTATGTCCCAAATAGGAAATTTTCGTATCATAATGTGGGGCCCTGAGGATCCAACTCTCGACATGATCAATCTTATTGGACAGCGAGCCATCCCGCCTCATATACTCTGGCCGCGCCGAACAATATCCTGGAAAAGGGCATGGGCACTCGCATGGCAAACAGGACAGGAAAAGTTATATAAAGACTGACAATTCCACTGCTGAATATGCCCTTATCGACTAACAGCCCGCTTTCTCTGAATGTCTTATTTACTCTACGCTTTTGATAGCAAACCAGTCAAGAATATGGTCAACGTCGCGATTGCTGGTGGTACCGGTGATGTAGGGAGAACCATTCTGGAGATATTGCAAGACTCTACCAAACACCAGGCATTTGTTCTATCTCGAAAGGTATGGGTACCCCACTGTGGCAATCAACCAAGCAGCTGACACAAGATAGTCATCGACAGGAACCCCAAACACTCTCGTGGCTGACTACAAAGATATCGATCAACTCGCCTCCCTGCTTGAGGACAATAAGATCCATACAGTCGTCTGCGCACTATCGGTTGAGGGGGACTCCCTTGAATCGGCGCAGCTGAACCTGATCAAGGCAGCTGCACGATCCCAGGCTACAAAACGCTTTATCGCAAATGGATTTGCTATCCCTTACCCCAAGGAGTTCGTTACCCGGCGCCTTTTATCCCCTCACAGCTGACTTATATTAGAGCCCTGGAGGTATTACCCCAGCTCAAGGTTTATTTCGACGGACTGGACGAGCTTCGTAGGTCAGGACTGGAATGGACTGTATTTCACATTGGGATGTTCATGGACTACTTCGCCACCCCGGCCTTGAAGTCATACCTTAAGCCACATATCGCTGCATTTGATCTCGAAAACAAGGTCGCCGCCATCCCAGGAGATGGTAACGTCCCCGTCACTTTGACCTATTCGTTTGATATGGCCAGATTCCTGGTTGCGTCGCTGGACTTGGAGAACTGGGAAGAAGAGAGCCGTGTTGTTGGGGACGAGATAACCTGGAATGAGTTTCTTGCTCTAGCCGAGGACGCTCGTGGTGAGTATTCATGAACTACATCGAATTGCTGTCTGCCAGAGTGGCCTTGCTAATCGATTATTAGGATCCAAATTCGAAGTTCATTACGATGACATTGAGAAGTTGAAGAGGTTCGAGATCACCGAGCTGCCGGCCCAAAAGGCTCTCTACGATCGGTTCCCGAAGGAGGCATTCCAGTGGTTTACCTCGATTTTTGAACGGTTTACTGCTGATGGCAACTCTCACATTCCCAAGGCTGGTAGCTTGAATGAACGGTTCCCCGCCATCAAGACTCTGTCGGTTAAGGAGATGCTTAATACTTACTGGAAAAGTGGATGAGATAGCCATGAATTTTACTCGAGGGTATTGGGTGATATGATTTTATGCGTGCTACTTCGGATGGGTACCTAGTTCAAGTTATAATTATACTCCCTGGAATACATGATATGCGAATAGGGAAATGGATTGATTTGGCGATAGTGATTCTTTCAATGATGCTGAGCTTTTGACCGTGTAGATTAAATATAAGGGTTTCTCCTGCAAAAATCCGGCGGCTATACTACCTGGACTGGATAAAAGGCATTCGAATCACAGTCGTGAATACTAACCTGCGGGAGGGCGTAAAGTACGTATAGAGCACTGCAGGTAAACACATGACTCGTAGTTGCTTTTGTGGAACACATGAAATGAAACATTTCCCTCCCCCGCTCTCCATCCCAACTCGATCGCCCTCTCCTTCCTTCACCACCCAGAACATTCAGGACCTGCCTACCATGCCTGACACTGCTACTTCTGTTACCGCTGCTTGTAAGTTCTGTGCGAAGAAGTCGTCGAATAACATCACCCTCAAAACTTGCGCCAAATGCAAGGCCCAATGGTACTGCTCGCGTGAGTGTCAGAAGGCCGATTGGAAGACCCACAAAAAGACTTGTGGCAAGAACGCCGACGACACATTCACCAATACAACCTCAACCGGCCATAGCCGTCCCCAGGCAACCTCAAGCAATCATACCCGTCCCAAGAACCTCGAGGTCTTTATCGAGAAGCCGTTTCACCAGTTGCACAGCAAAAAGTGGCTTCACAACCGCCCGGAGAAGGATGTCTACAAGCTCCTGATCGATACCTATCGGATGAAGATGGAGGACCAATACACTATCGAAGGTAAAGTCGATGAGGACTCTATCTATTCCGATAGACCCGACAGTCGCGACGGATTTCATCGATTCCTACGCCTGGTGGAACAGAAACCTGACTTGCTTCCCTCGTGGTGGTCTCCGGAGAAAGCCACCGCGTGCGTGGCCTATGGGCTAAACAAAGACAATTGGAGCTCGCTCGACTGTTGCGCCGAAAAGGGGGACTTTATCGAACACTACGGGGATCCCACCTTTCCGATGCAAATGAGAATGTTTGGAGAGCAGATTTATGGGAGGGGACCAGGAGGACAGCCTGGATTGCCAATGATGCAGATGATGATGCAGGCAGAAAAGGGCGGAGTGCACACTAGTTTGCTGAATATGCGTCGTTGAGCTGAGTAGGAGTCGTCTACGCCAAGAAGTTGACGGGGAGTTTGGCTAGGATGGATAAATTTCTCTACTCTCTTCCTAATATGTAAATGATTGTTAACCACGCTGTTTAGGCTGCAAAGTAACTCATCTCTATTACTGGTATAACGGCCTATCTGATCTGATAGGTCTATTATAAACAGCCCTGAGTCCCCTAATCCTACTGGACACTCGGGTAACACAGTGTATTGATAGCATGTCAACCACTAAGGTAAGGGTACGTAGGCAAATAGAAAGGGTAGTGTCTATTACTAGCTGAGTAGTAGAACGAATACAAAGGAAACTGATTCTTGCTCCTTTTTCCTATGCCTGAGAACCTCCTTGAATAGCTTCTGGTCCTCTCCGTTCCGGACTGAATGGTCCGGCGACACCTTTTCCGGCTGGTTCTGAACTGCAAAGGAGACCAGGATTTATGCACGAGGAGCCACCAGGGGTTGGGAGCTTTTGCAGGGTGTATGGGTCGATTCTATCCAGTATCCGCTTCCTTCTATTGAGCTTGTAACTATTGATTAACATTGACCCTGGTGTACTAGAACCCTCGACTAGGCGGCTTGGGCGCTAGAGGATAGCAAAAACAGCCTATTTACAGCGAGTTACGATATGCATGGCGAGCAAGCCTTTCCCGTAGTAACTTGACAATACCATTCCGGCCCTTCGCATTGGCTATTGCCATTGGCGTGTTGCCATTCCAATCACGGATATTGGCCTCGGCACCGTGTTGGAGAAGCAGCTTGACAATGGCGAGATGCCCCTCCCGAGCAGCTAGGAACAGCGCTGTCTCAGACTGCTTATTCCGAGCCTCGACACCCGCCCCCGACTCTAGAAGTACTCTGCTAATGGCCTCGTGCCCACCAGAAGCGGCACATAAGAGTGGTGTCCGACCTTCTTGATCCCGCGCATCAACGATGGCGCCTTTTTCGAGCAGTGTCCTGACTATCCCTTCATGCCCATTCCCAGCGGCGACTAATAATGAAGCCTGATGTCCCAGACCCTGCGTCTCGATATTTGCGGCTTTTTCAAGCAGTACCCTGACTATCCCTTCGTGCCCATTCCGGACGGCAGCTAGTAATGGCGTCTGCTTGAATTTCGGACTCTGCACCTCAATGGCAGCACCTTTGTCAAGTAGTATCCCAACTGTTCCTTCATGTCCATTCGCAGATGCTATGGTTAGTGGCGTCCGTCCAGCTGTATCCTTAGCATCGATATCAACGCTTTTCTCAACCAACACTTTGACGGTGGCCTCGTGTCCAGCCTGTGCTGCCCACCACAATGGTGTCTTTCCTTTGTCGTCTTTTGAGTCTATGATAACATCGCGTCGAGCAGCTAACATCTTAGCAACTGTCTCATGGCCATGTTGGGCCGCATAAATTAACGGAGTTTGTCCGCGTGGGCCCCTCCAGATCCCCTCAACATCGCTGCGGGTCAGCAGCAGCCATACTTCGTCCTTGAGCCCTCGTTCCGCTGCTTGTAACAATGCAGAAGGCTCTCCAAATCCCATAAGTGCCATTAGTGTAGCATCAGGGTAAATATCTGGTGTGATGCTGTCACACTTCCCCCGGTCCTTCGATTTTCGGTGACTTGCTAGGCGGCCTGCTTGAATGATCATTTGTCGCATCGGGTATTGCGAGGGTCGGTATTTACGAAGATCAAGCTGTTTGAAGTCTTCGCTGTGAACCCTTTCGAATCGCTCCATTGTCAAGAATTCAGAATCTCTCACGTAGAGAGCAATCAATCTTTCTCCCCCGCCCTCCTCTTTGCAATGAAGGATCGCAAGCCCCAGTCCTCGGGGACCAATACCCATGAAGCGAATTCTCAGATCGATCCCAGTGCTGGTTGCGGCAAACGGGGTATTGAAAGGATCAAAGGGATTGAATCGCACAATATTATGAGAACCTATAAAAGCAGCTGGAGAGGTCGCAAGAAGACCACCCCGATTGTCACGCGACCTCCATGCGAAGAGACTATGATCATCGGAAATGCGCATGATTTCCTCTTGCAGTCTGATAAATGCCGTTTCTCGTTCTCCGTAGATCAGTGGAATGTTAACCCCGAATATTCCGAGGAGGGAATAGGCTCGATCCTCGACCCTGGTCGTTACTCTTTCCGCTGCCCAGGACATCCTTTGGGCGACGCTGAAGGATTCAATATATTCATCCCCGGAGAGAACACCAATCGGGATACGTGTACATTCAGAGATAGCCTGTTGAAGATCGGCCTTACTCCCTAGTTCCGTCCACTTTTCATCAAGGAAAATAAGTTTCGTGGGCGCAATTAGCTCCTGAAGAGTCCACCCCCTCGTAAACCACCTGCTCTCTTTAAACCCCTTCCTAGACGGTACGTCCGCGAGATACGCATAACATACCTCAGCCTCCTGGTACCATCGGTACATAGAGTTGATGGCTTCAGACAATTCTGCGCTGCTTGTCTTATCAATACAACAAGAATCTATCCAAACATAGTCGAAGCCTTCGGCCCTAGCGAGATGGCAACACCGTTGAACCTTATCATATCCGCTTTTCTGCTTCGTATGAAATGCATCTGCGGGCATATCCTGGAAGGTGATTTCCTCGCCCTCCCATGTATGGGACAAGATCGCATAGGGTGGGATTCTGTCGTCCGTGAATTCTAAAATCTCCAAGTTGCCCGTATGGCTCTCTTTTGTATGTAGCAAGCGCATGATTCAAATACACACTTTGTGCTTTATACAGCTGAGGCAGGTCTATATGTAGAGTCTATAATCGCGAAATCAGGTTGGTACGTCAGATCTAGTCGCGAGGCTGAGAAGGTCAATGAAGTTAATTCTCGGCAGTGGTATCATGGGGTTTCAAAAACCAGGAGACTTGGTCTCGCATGGTGCCAAACCGGGCGTTTTTCGGAAGACCCAAGTGAAGTGGGTCAAAGATGGGGGATAACTGTGCTGGGGCTCGTGCTTTAAATCTATCAGGTTGGGAAGTTTGCTGCTTTATGTACTCCGCACGCTTACGCACAGGGATTTAATCGACGCCAAGGCAAGGCTGAGTCCTCAACTTTAGGATCTGTCAAATGAGATTTACTGAAGCCTTGCAACCTCATGAATAAAAATGGCGAATTCGGCCAATGGGCGTCATACTATCCTGCCAGCCTTAGACCCTATCATTACCTGCAGAATTATCCATTTGGGGGTCATATATGACCTATTTCATATTATAGTGGGGAATAAACTTGAAAATACATGAAGTGCCGCTATCCTCTCACGGACGCTGTTTGAATAGGACACGATGAAGTGAAACTCTAAACAAATACATATGTTTGTAGCTCGTAACCTGTAAACTACGACTTTTATTGCTCGCGATGCTTAATACGTCGAAAGGACATCCTGGAATTGTATACCAATGAGACCCATATATTGACCCCTTAGAAAAAAGGCTAAAGCACTATATTTTGAACTAGTACGAATTTGGTTAGTAGTAAACTAAACCAGCCACCGATTTATGCGAACTGATGCAATGTTGAATAGCACTCGTTCTAGATCCTTTCGTTTGATCTCTCCTACGGATTCTTAGGTGTCACCTGATGGTGGAAAACCACACCAGACTTGGCAAATGCCATATTGTGAGCGTATAGATATCTCTTACGAATATGTTCCACTTCCACAAAGGTGAAACTGCGGGAAGCATCGAGTGGAATCCATTGGGGTTCCAGTTTATCGAGGGTTGGAGTTTCCCTAATGTTAGCTAAGCGTCAGATTTGCTATCTTATAGATTGTGTGGCTAATGGAATTCGCTAGGTAAATGAGGTGACATCTTGGAACTTTCGCCATGGATGCTTGGAAAACTCGCAACTCAAAGAATGGCTGCAACAGGCGGGAGACTTCTCGGTCCCTGATTACCCCCTTTCTGAAGAGCCGAATGGGGGGATTAGATTACTGATATGCAACTACACTTTATTCGAGCGCGCCTCGCTCGGGATGTCCCACGAGGAGTACAGTTTAGTGGAAGCAATGCTTGGGCTTCATCCAGCGACCCTCTCGGCCCTTGAAGTAAGTGGTGGGATGTTCTCGCGTTACTCCAGGCCTACAGGGCACCAGGGGGATCAAATATGTGCGTTTAGCGGGTCTTTCTTGCACAACATACCATGTAAATGACTAATACAACCAAGCTATTATCCTCAAAGCCCCTCAGAAGTACGAGATCGCCAATTACATGCTGTCTCTCACGCATGATACTACATCACAATGGACCACAGCTCTCCTCGCGGGCGAAGACATCATCGATCTATTTCCATCAATGGATGACTATCGTTCCAAACTGCCATTCAGATCTCAAGTCCCCGGCAGAACTATCCGGACCAGTCTTGCGCAGTCTCCTGAGATGTGGAACAATCCTCTCACATTGCCATGCATTCTTCTCACCGATCATTTGAAGCGATTACAACAACATTGCGCAGGGCCTCTGACCCAACAGGTCATGGTGATCGAAGAGCATCTTGGCGTCACCACAGTGGGCCGGAGGAACCAGGTGCCACGTTTTCGAGCGCCAACAAATAGAAGGCTTCAATCCAGAAATGCGGATGTTTTGAACTTGGGAATACCCGTTGATAGATCCCAGACGCATTTTCTTACGGTTTCCATCAACTCGAAGCTAACAAGTATACTGTTTACGAGACGCTCTCCGAAGTGGAACTATGAGGCGTCACAGTTTCTATTAAACATCATAAATGAATCTCCTCGAGAATGGTGCGGCCAGCATTTGCGCTATAACCAAATAAGAGAATTAATCGAGCACAATATATGCCTCGCCAAATCCATCGAGGACCATGTGCTGTGCCTTCAGTCTCGGATGGAGCTTCAGCTCGATGTGGTGCGATTAAATCTAATTTTTAGTATCCAAAAAGAGCTTTGTTATTGACTCTTGACTAGTTGTACAGTTTCGTGGCCCAGTCGGATAATCGACTCAACGCACGCCTTGCCGCATCGACCGGGAGGGACAGCACCTCCATGAAGATCTTAGCATTTATCACGACTATATTTCTTCCGGGAACATTTATCGCGGTATGTACTTAGTCCTTGTAGAATAAAAGGATTGACTAATGCTATGTGTTATAACATATATAGACTCTGTTCTCCATGGACATGTTTGACTGGAAAAGCGCCCCTTCCGATGGCAGCTCAGCAGTGTCATCTCAATTTTGGATCTATTGGGCAACAGCAGTCCCGCTCACAGCAGTGACTCTCGGAGGCTGGGCACTCTGGTGGAATTTCGAGAAGCACAGGTACGATGTACATATAAAGGAGGCGGTGCATAGAGCAGACAGGCCCTACAAGTCGTGGTGGCGGAAAAGGTGAGCGACTTGGGACACATATAATAGTAACGTGAATTTTGTATATAGTTACTTTGAAAAATTAGGCAACCATGGACTAGGCATGCCAGACGGTAGCCTGTCGCACCCCTGTGTTACTGTGGCAGCTCAAAACCACCCTTGAGACAAAATCTATCGTCTGCAGCAGTGATTATTGATGATTGAGAAGTGCTCAGCGAGCATCAATATCGCCTCCATGAGGTTCACTATCCACGACATTTCTTTCATCAAGTGCGAAAAAGAATCAGAAACCTCCAGTATATTACAAGCATCTTTACGAGGACAACTTTGTATAATGAAAGTGGTGAGTGTGAACAGATATTTCGCCTTCACATTAGTTTTACCTTCTCTGAATGATCTAGTAGCATACTTTTGAAGAGCGACCTTGGGATTCTATATATAGAGAGATAGACCAATTAGTCTGCGAATACTCAGCCTATACTCGCCTTAAGGAACGAGGGCTATGCGGACAAGGGATACTCCCAGATTTCTACGGTTCTATCGAGAAGATTGATCCGGATCAATGCCGGCCGCACCTAAACGGCTTTCTGGAGGATGAGCTTCGCCCAAGCGCTATCCTGCTGGTATATGTTTCGAATATGCAGAAAATAGATATCACAACGTATACGGAAGACCGTGCGGCTACACTTATTCAAACCCTTCGAAACATTCATGAAGCACGGGTTTACCACGGGGATCCATATCCTCGGACCATGATGGTTCAGCCAGAGACAGGTCGTGTGCTCTGGATAGATTTCGATCGCGCCCAGACCTTTCCGACTAGTCCTGTTACAGACCGGCAGCACGGCTGGATGGAAGATGATACCATCATGACTGTCGACCTCTTGGATCGTCTTGTAAGATATCACGACTTTCAAAAATCTCTTCGCTAACATTGATTTCCCAGGGACAAGACATGAAAACAGGGAAGCTTGACCAGGAATATTCCTATTACTACTTTGGGGCACCATGAGCTCATGACAGTCCTTCTAACGTGCCAAATGCTATTCAGGTGTCTAGACTGTGAAGTCCTATGACTTAGCTGAGCTTGTGTGAATTTAATTCAATGGCGAATTGCTTCTGCAGCAGGTGATGGTCATCCAGTCGCATAAAATCTCCTAACGTCGAGTGACGAAATACGTCAGCAAGTTGCCATGAAGGAACAAAGTTCACAAAATGTAGAAGATAAACGAAGAAGAGTAGGAATAGGACAGCATTAATAATTGTCGGAAGGAGACAAGTAGAGCTTAGGGCTTACTGAATCATGCGCCAGTGGGATGGCATCCCGCTGATTTCAGAAGAGGCGTGTTGACCGCTGCAGAACTGGTCAAAGCAGCTGACATGGCCTCGGCACATCAAAAGGCCGATAAGACTAATGCAAGGGCAATATGATCTGGGCAGAACTCTATTTATTAAGGAAATCTGTACTGACCAGTCTCATATGACGGAATGCTTCGGTGTAGGTGACTGCTCGAAGAGTGAAGGACTCCGTCATTTTCTGGGTACTATCCAACGCAATCCGAGCAGAAGCACTAGGATTCGAGTCCTTCAGTTCCGACGGCGTCCGACCAGGGCAGTGACTAGTGTTGCGCAATAGTCCGGGGTGATGAAATTGCGACCCATATCTGTGACCCTGCACGGCTAGCCCTAAAATTGAGTTTGGAACTCAATCTCAGGTTGGCTGGGGATTCCTGCATGTCTTACAATTACATCAGTGGTGAGGCCCAACACATGCGGACTCTTGGTAGGATTGCCCATGTTAATCTGCGAATGCCTCGGGATGCCGGTGGTGACATGTGCTTTATACGACACGAACATCGTTGATTCGTGGTGAACCCTGGCCGCGATTCCGCGCTAATCATGCATTTTGCGGGGTACAATTAATTGGGATACCATCAATTACTCCTTTCGGAAATCCCCAGGATCTAGCCAACAGACCTAGATGAGAGATTAAGATTAAACAGGGAGATGGGCTTTTCAGGCTAAAGGCGAGCAGAAACCCGGGGCTTTCAGGTGTTCGAGCATATAATGTGGGAATTCTCCACGGCGGCATTGTCTCTTCCACAGTTATTCAGGACTCAAAGCTTGTGTTAAACCATACCTTGGCGTATATTCTCCTAGGTTCCTCTTTCACCTTGACCTAAGCCGATCCTATCATTGGTCAATATGCACTTCCACCGTCTCTTCGTCTTGGCCGCCGGGCTGCTGACAACAGCCACATCGGCACCCACCGAGCTTTTCAAGCGCGATGCCACAGGCGTAGTAGATGCCGTGGCAGAGATCGCAGACAAAATGACGACCCTAAATACCACTGTCACGGGTTACCAAGGCGGAGTGCTTGGAACCGGAACCGCCCTCAAGATCGAGTTCCAGTCCATCCAACTCAGCCACGCGCTCAAAGATGCCATCTCAACCACCGAAGATTCCCAGAACTTCACCGGCGATGAGTCCAACAAGGTGGCCGCTGCCTTTATCGACCTGCAACCGAAGATCTCTTCGACTCTCGATAATATTGTCTCTAAGAAACCTCAGTTTGATACGGGACTCCTCGGTATCGGGTCTGTCTCATTCCTAGTGAAGTGGAACTTGCAACAGGAGAAGGACCTATCGGCAGACCTGGGGAAGGCTGTTGTTGCTAAGTTGGCGGAGCCGTATGCCTCGGTTGCGCCATTGCTGAATGATCAGATTGCGGCTGCTTTTGAGAAGGCGCTTGCGGCTTATAATTAGGTGCTAGGGGAGCTTCGCAGAGGTGGTCTTTTTCTGGATTAATGTCACAGATCCCGTGAGCCCTTTATTTGGAAAATAGTTAATCATACAACTAGGCTCAGTTTCGGCATTCATCTGAAAAATGGAAAATATAGTACCAAACTGGGGTCTCGCATTACCTGGTAAACCATCTGCGTCTTGTAAGGTCAATAACAAGTTCCGTTAGGGGGAATTATTAAAGGAGAAATAGTGAGTATGATGGTTGTCACCATTCAATAGATCGGATCATAGAGTAACTTGATGGCTCTCGTAGCAACCAGTGTACGGCAGCTGACGCGAGATTCGCCGACCTTTCCTTGGACGTAGCGTTGTCCCTGAACGCATACCAATACTCCCTTGTGCACAGATACCAAGACCGTTCTTGTCTAGCGATCTCCAACAGTCTAGTGTAAGACCATTGGGCAGTGGTAGGGAGTTTCGAAAGGTCAGGCATCACGTAGACGAGGAATAGTCTCCACAACTTACGACGAGGACACCACCGTCTTTCAAGCGTTGTGCAAGGATTAGGCCCCGTTGCGTATACACGGCATTGGACAACGTCTGGTCTTCCTCGTCACTCCCTTGCCTGAAGAGAATATCTTTTGCAGGTTGGTTGGCTTCTCCTCCCTCACAGCCTCACGCCAAGCCCTTCGCTTGCAACTGCTCCCGAACATCATTACCATTATAGGAAGAGACGAGCCCATGTGTTTCTCTCCATGTAACCGACTGGTACAATTGTCTCTGCAGTCGGAGACTACCCTGGAGCGAATCGTGCTGTAGAGTCTTCCTCGATGGTTATCTGATAATGACTATGCAGATGTATGGAACGTTTCGACAGGCGATCATTGGTCACTCACATCTCCCGACCGGACCAACCATAGCTCAAAACAAATTGATGTGCAACTATCTTGCCGGATGCGAAATGACGGAGTGGAGTCTTGAAGTCTTGTCAATAACGTGAGAGTTCATGTCCGTGGCTTCGATCGGGCGCCTAATGGCCAAGCGCTGTACGTACGAAGTGATCATCATGGCTCAGAGCCGCGACGCGCGTATAGAGTTTATTCCATTCCGAACTAGCTGGAGATTTTCAATTGGAGACAGAAACGTGGGCACGAGCCAGGAGCTATACCTTTGTCTGAACTGGGCGTTAACTACTTAGTATTGTGTTTTTTTATCGCGAACATTGACGACTTTGTGACCATACTGAAAAACAAAGTACGCGGTTTATCCTCTTGTTAAGTACTATATCATCCGACCAGCATGCCACTTGCCGAGACAGCACAGCGGGTGGACGATACTACGTATACCTATAGAATGCATTAGACTGCTCACGCAGCGCTGCATATCGCCTTTCTCAGATGTGATCGTCATGCCGCGAGCTGGGCATTGTGCAATATGTTGGGGCTATACTGTCTATCAGGCGCACCATCTGATCGAATACGATAGTTGATGGCATAATACGACAGTCGGCTATCATGCCCTCTGTGAAATGATTCAAACTGTACCAATGATATACCTCGATTAAGAGACATTCGCGTCTCCAAAAATCTATATAAGGGAGGGTTTCTCCCCTGAGCACGACATTCATCTCATCTATAGCAACATCAACAAAGCACAGTTCCAATCAGCCAATCAGTCAATCATCAAATCTTTTTTGAACATAACTACAAATCACCAATTCTTCCTTCAAAATGAAGTTCATCTACGCCGTCCTCCTTGCCGCCGCGACCGTCACGGCCAGCGCGCTCCCAGAACGCCTGGAGGCCCGTGTTTGCGGTAGCCCCATGTGCAGCAACTATGTTGCGCTGGGTGCTGCCGATTGCCCGCTCGATTGCATGTGGGGAGACTGCACCAAGTACCAATGCATAACCGAGGGCTACGATGTAAGTGTCTAGTGTGGTATATAGGACATACGTTGAACATTACTGACGTGGATATAGGTCATCTGTGGAAAGAACGGAGACAGCTGTGCTAAGGCCTGATTCAAACGAGAATGAGAATGACATGAGGAGACGTAAATTGGATAGATCATGATGTGAGATGGAGGTTGTCATGGCTGGGGTGATTTGATGGATAGAACGATGTTACTTTCTACTGTCGTTACCTAGAAGAATCGTGAATCTCTCTGAAATATATATGACCTGGCCTGTACTGGAAGGGCTTAGATGAAGCTAGCTGACGTAGACTCCTAGTGAGCTGTCTGTTCACTGTACAATCCATCTTGGAGCAAGTACCCTGTGAACCCAAGGCTGGGTATCATAGCCTCATAGCACCAAGTAGTAAAGCCGGGTTTGCAGCATTTCTGGCACCGGAATGCCTTGATCCAAACGTAAGCAAAAGGTAGCATAAGTGCTCAGTACATTGAGTACATTATTCTACATGGTAACGTAGTCATCTCACTAGTGGTGATGCATCATACTTCCTATGTTTGACTCCGCTGGCCAAAGCGATGTGTAGTACCATCACTTCTCTAGCTCGCAAAGCATTGTGTAGCGTAGTAGAACATCGCTGCTCTCTTTTTATTCTCTTTGGTTATACGTATGGTCTACTTCAGTTTGAATGAGTTCATAGTTTGTACGTTTGGGATTTTGAGTTCTGATATTTGCCTGCTGACATCTAGTAGCAAAAGTAATTCACAATACAAGGTTGGGAAACGTTCTAATAATATTATTTCCATTGAGCAACTACCAAATTGTCTCTCGATTCTTTTTTTGTCAAGCAGATGTCTTTGGCAGCGTCGTTGCCGCCAGCGATTGCTGGGTGGGTTCCCTGGATACCCTTACTTTTATCTAGGACAAGTTTTAACTGACTAGAGGCTAAGTTACACCAAGGTAAACGTGGAGTAAATTAGCTATGTGGGGTTTAAGTTAAGATTAACCAGAGTCTAGATCATTCGAAATGCTAACTTATTGCTGATTCAATTGAGCAATAAAACCAACGGTTCGGCTGAGAACCTCAGCAAGCCCCAAAGCAATGGTTTAATTTTCTGAGACACAGCTAGTTGAATCGCTGAATGGAGCGCTTGATCTACCAACTGTAGTAGTTAAGACTTTCCTCACCCAGAAGAACTGTGGTATCCGTTCACTAAACACCAAAAGAAAAATGAAAGAAGATCTACAACTTTATCTTACAATTTTAGTTATTTTCGTATGATGGGTCCACAGAACAAGTCCTAGCTCTCGTATTCCACGTAACTAGTCTCATTATTCCCGCGGAACCCCTTTAATG